TCTATGTTATGATCTTACTATGCTCAACTGGTTGAAAACAAAGTATAAAGCTGGCATGTGCTTTCACAAGAAAAGCAGTTTATAATATAAGCAGCTATATTATATAAGTTATTATATTTCAGAGAAGCCACACTGGAAAAAAATTGATCCACCCAAGTAATGTGTGAAAAAGGATATCTTATAATTTTACAAGGAAGCATCTACCAATGAGAGTTTTTTTGGAACAAGAGGAAAAGTCGAAGGTGGTTTTGGATTTTGGGGTAATTATATTTGATGGATGTGTCCACTAAGGTGACCGGCAGTGAAAGTTAATAAAACTAATATTAATTGAGTTAGAGCTTAACTGTCCATGATATACTGAGCTGATTCACACCTCTGGGTGATATTGTATCATGTTTTCTCTCTACTAAAATGCCTTGCTCTGCTCTAGAATTGGTTTCCATTTTGAAGTTTTTCATCACAGCAACAAGGACTGCAAGCATATAAATTAAATAAAGTTGAGACTTTGGAGCACAGTTCTGCTGAGGAAGTGTATTAAACAGGAAAGAATTGAGCATTCAGAGATAATGCCGTGAGCACTCAGTTGCTTTCGCTGTCTGAATTGGCACACGTGAGCACACGTGCTGTAGAGAACTCCCACTGCTTATTTTACTTTACAGCAAGGATACATGCCTTAAGAAAGTTTTATCAGCTGAGTCAGGTAAATATTTTGTGGTCATGGGAAATCAGTCACCACAGACTACTCGTTCTTCTGTCTGAACTGGATATGACATCACTGCTGTGCTCTCAGGCCAGTAGGAATACTTTTGTAACTTATTTTGAGGTATCAGACACTACGGCCTAAGGCTATTAGACCCTACCCCTATGCTTTTTGTCACATCATGAGTCCCATGGATCCCATGACACCACCTATTGCCATGTCCCGTGATTCTCACTGTGTCCTCTATTTCGCTAAAGCTACTAGTGTCTCCCTTTGTTCAAAACGTCCCAAGATTAAACTTCTCATCACTGTTGTGATCTTCTTTTCCCTATTTCTTTGTTTTCTCGTTTCAGCTACATCAGTTTTTATCCCTCCTGTTCTTTCCTCTCACGCAGATATGCATCTCCTGCTTTTATGCCATTTATGTATTCAGCGCTTCCTGAGTTTCTCCGTTAGACTTCAGTCTACCGTATGCTCAAGTCCTTAAGATTCTTTCTGATCATGATTCCTATTAATAACTTGCTAAAAAGTAATAATCACATTAAGCAAGTAATGTGAATATATTTTTCTTCATGTCTATTTGATAAATTTGATGTATATTTCTGCATCCTCCTTAATTCTGTTCCATGTATTTCTTTATCTGCCTTCAGACAGTTCCTTGGGAAAGAGGACCCGACTGCTCTATCTTTAGTAAGAGTTGGCACAGCGTAGGATTAAGTGGGACTAAATAATTATATCTATGCATGCTTTTCATTTTCTATTTCAAAAAAGTGCTTTGGTTAGTGACAGTAAAAATAAAGAACTCCTGAAGAAACCTTTGTTTTATCTTTTTAGCAGTCCTTCAAATGTGTGCATTAATAAATAAAAAAATAAATAAATAAATGGAACCCAATCTTCCTAGCTGAATTAAAAAAGCTAGAACTGGCATCAGAGAGGTATCCATATCATGCCAGGTTACCAATAATTTTAAGTATAGTTTAGCCTCAAAGCTAGTCAACTTGAATAGTCACCAATATTCAGCTGCCTTCTCACTCTGGGCAGTGGGATTTTTCAATTTTTTTTTTTAAGCTCCTCATCTGGCATATCACTGAATTCCTGTCAGGATTTAACCTTTTTTTTTTTTTTTTCTTTTTTCTTAATTTGTGAGTGTTACACAGCAGTACTTGTATTACTGATTGAGCAAACCAAATGGTTGTGAATGAATGGGCACTTACTGAGTACATGTTTAGGGTCAAATCCAGATTCTGTGGAAACCTCTGGAAAACTTTCCTTTGGCTTAAATGAGATTAAGATACAGTTCTCAGTGCTGCAGGTATTTCCTTCCTTCCTTCCTTGCTTGCTTCCTTCCTTCCTTCCTTCCCCCCGCCCTCTTTCTCTCTCTCTTTCCTGTCTTTTTTTTTTTAATAACTATTTAAAAGGTAGGTAAGGCCTTAAGAACCTAAAATTACAGAAAAGAAAATTTGAGAAAATGGGATGAGAAAATTTTCACCAGCTAGAAATTTAAATCATATTCGTTTGTGCTCCTCCTGCACAGGTTGATGGCAGCACAAAGTATTGAAGGTTGGAATAGAATATAGTTCTCTTTCTGCAGCAATAGTCACATCATTTACTTTCTGTCCTTGATAGAATTTTTTTCAAATATATTCTGTTTAAAAAGGCACTTATAATTTAACATAGTTGGTGCCATTTGGGTTTTCAAATAATTATTATATTTCTGGTTTTAATATAAAACTCAGGGCACCTCTGCTATAAAACTCAGCATTTGTGCTGAGTAAAAATGGGTTACTTTTATTGATACGTCTTTTTCAAGGTTGCTGGGTTGGGTTTTTTTCTCTTTTCTTTTTTCTTTTTTTACTGTGTTGCAACAAAAATGGTTATATAACCACACAAATTTTCCTTATAAGAAAGTATTTACTGTATTTTGATATGACTTTATTCTACTCTCAAAAGAAAGACTGATGTGTGGTAAGTGCTGACTTTTCTACATGCTACCACTGTACTGTTACAAAGATTCATGCAAGGATGCTTATTACATGTGCTTAAGTATGCCTAACAAATCTGGGCTAGATTCTGTCACTTTTGCGCTGGGTAAGTAACACTTCACCCAATTCAAATGACTCATTTTGAATAAGTTCCTACTTACCATAAGAATGACAGAATATGGCCCTCAGGATTTATCATTTGTCGTATATTCCATTCTTATACATATCTATATGAACCAAATGGACCATGATAACGCTTAGAAAAATAGTTGGAAATTCAGAATGAAACAAAGAAACAAACCAACCAACAACAACAGAAAGAAAGGGAAATTAATAGGAATAAAGTCCCTTAGGCATCTGCCCAAGAACTAACACAACACAATCAGGAATTCAGAACATTTATTGCAAAAGCTGAATAACTAAATAACGTTGAACTGGCAAAGCAGTAACAAGGATAACTGGTTAGATATTTATTCTGTCAAAGTCATCAAACACCCCTCACAAACTGACATAAGTACTGCAATAAGCAATGCACCCCTAACCCATTTTTATGCCTTTTATACTGTGGAGGGGAAAAAAAAAAGTAAAAAAAAAAGTGAACTGCTATATACAAAAGAATAAAGAAGAAAAAAAAAGCTTGTATTTTTGGTAGCAACAAAATCACCTTCAGGTTAGCTAAATTTGTTACTTTAAGACTGATGTTTCACTGTGGCATAAGTAACTTTTGCTTTTTTCTGTAAGGACTTTTTTTTTTCTTTTTTTTTTTGCATGCTATTTATTTGTGTAAATCATCTGTCATGCCTTTACAGAAACCATCTAAAAATGTTTGGATTTGGATTTGCTTTGCGTGCAACTTAGATCTTATTAACATTAGGAGTCACTCTGCTGGTTTGACTGAGGTGACATGATACTGGTACCTGCCAGGCATTGACCGACTATGATAACAAACAGTTAAACAGCAATAATTAGAGATTTAACCCTTTAGTTCCCCCAACTAGCCTACCAGGAGAATGCTCTGTTACATCATGAAGGCACAACACATTAAATATTCTGTGGCTATGGTCTAAAAACACTTGTGTTACTACAACATTAACGCAGATGAAGATCAACACAAATGCTGCTGTTTCAGCCATACAAACTGTCTTAGGTATAGACACACACCTGCCCAACTGGAAAAACATGATTATTGTATTTTGCTCCTGTAGAATTTCCTCCCTATAGTCCAGCTGAAATCAATGTCAGCTACCACTCACTAAATTACAGACTGCAGCTAATTTGATCAAGGATTCCAAACGAACAGCTTTCTCTCTCACCCACCACCACAAATTTAAATATTATTCTTTTGTTTTGCAGTTTCCCTGTTTTATGAAACATAATGGAAGTTCAAAAAAAAAATTGCAAATTATTAAGCCCTTACACAAGTCCTTTCATTTCTTAATATTAAAAAACAAAAAAAAAAAAAAAGGAAAAAGAAGAAATTCTACCTGAATGCTGGCATCATTTGGTACTACATAGAAAGAAAAATCTTTTTTTTTCCTTTCTACAACCAACCTTCCCTCCCACCCCATCACTCCTTTTTTCACTTTTAACACAAGCGTTTTGATTTCCTTGGAACATTGTGTGTCAGACAGACTACTAACACAGAAACACCATCACTGAAAAGAAAAGCAAAACAACAGGAAGCAAATGAAAGAAAGTAAAAAGCAACTGTGAAACACAGAAATATGCTACAGTATCTTTTCAAGTGAACATTATAAGTACACAAAAATTGTAAGTAATAATTGTCTCTATTTACAAGTATTTGAACACTGATCGACTTATAAGTGTCCACTAACATTGTTAATAGCACAATAGGTTTAATGTTTACAGTTTCAGTTGTTTTGTTTGCAATATGATCTCAAGTATAACGGTCCCAGCATAGATCAATGACAACAAAAGCACAATTTTCTAACTGGATATGCTTTTCAACCATTGCAATCCACTGAACTTTCTCACTCTCTCACTCTCCAAATGCATCTTCTGTTGTTCATAGCAGCAGTCCAGGGTCAAAAAACAAACACACAAAAAAAGGATATTTGCAAACTGGAGAGATCTCTGCAGATTTTAATCATGTCTATTTAACAAAACCACACAACTAGTAGAAACACTCTTTCATGTTGCAGGACATCATACCTTCCACGGTGCTAACATAAAGATATGCATATCTCTGCTAGGTGAAGCATAGTTCTAGAGGTCTACCCAGTACATAAAGCTCTGACACACACACAGTATTAGCAAGTCTAAGTAGGCTAAAGTCTTTGGTCCAAAGTAACCATTTCTTATAGTTGGTGCTCCTTTGGACTCTCAACAGCTCCTGAGGCCTGTTTATAAGACTTCAAGTTGGCCAGAGGAATGTCATTCATGTGGTTGCCAGTGTTGAAATGGCCCTCACTGGAACCATACTGCTTTCGGTCACTGAACTGGTTTCTGTTGCTATCTTCTTTCCAGCTCCTGGTCAATGTGTGTCCATTAACTAGTTTGTCCTTCTTAACCCATTCTTTCTGAGGTGCAAAGGTGGAGAGAGGAGACTTTGGCTGTTGGTATGGGCCCAAGCTGGGAGGCATCCAACAGTTGTCTGAGTGACCCAAAACCAGGCATTCTTGAGTACACATCTCTGTAGCTTCAGCTAATCCTCGTGGCCCAAGAGGCCCATCTGTAGAAGAAAAACAAACAGAAAGAAGAAAGGGAGAGAGAGGAAAAAAAAAAAAAGACATAATATTAAATCGTGATATTCAGCATTAAATGTATACATATAGCTCGTGAGAAAATAAACAATGATTCTGCAACAAAATATTGTGCTGGTAAATCCTAGATACATTTTCATTCTGTTATAGACTATTTGCTTTGTAGGGCCTATACTTGCTGTATATGCTACCTACGTAGCTTCCAAAAGTGGAAATACAGTTCAATTAGCCCTAAGTTATCAGTCTCAGATCCTGCTATGAATAAACTTAACTCCCTTTTTCAATCACAGTAAGAAAACAGAGCTTGGTAAGTGAAAAAGTCAGATGAAGTAAACATACCCTTGCAAATTCTGAGTGAGAATAATGCTGCTTGTAAAGGCCTACAGTTTGGATGTATTCTCTTCTGCTTTCAACTCACTTTACTGCTGCAGAGCCCTGGTGAACTAGCACCACTAAACTGAGAAACATTTATATTATCCAGAAATGTGCTTGCCCAAAGGAATCCTCTGTATGCAAGATTATTCTAATGTCTACTATTTTACAAACTTGGATTGGTGCATAGTTCTAGACATCTACCCAATGCACACTCCCAACAAGTAAGAGAGAAGTTAAACTCTGCTGGATTTAATATGAAACCATGAAACATTTCAAAACGTTGCAACAGGAAAGAGAATAAAATCTATAATTCTTCTGACCATTAAACACATCTCAGATAGCTGCTATGCAACCATAAAAATCAAGGGGTAAATAAAAAAAAGAAGGCTCATGCAAATCTTGTGCTTGGTAAAGAACTGTTCTTATAGTTCTTTGTAAGTCAGGAATATGAAACCACAAGAGACACAAATGAGGTCTGCTGAAGTACTATGCATGTTAAATATCCACATCATTTTTCACACGCTACTGAGGACACAGCTGGCCAGCTACAGGCATCTTACAATCAAGCAGACAGGTAACCCATGTCTTCAGCAGCACTAATTTCCTCTCAGTCTTACTGCATTTCTAAATGGCTGAATTTGCTCATCTGATCAGACTGGATGTATGAGGAAGGGCAAGCCAGGAAAAAAACACAGAAATCACTTTGTGTGTATTTCTTAGATATTTCTCAATATCTGAGATATGCTTTGTCATGCTTCTTTGCTAACCGTATTGTAATTTTGAGCAAGAATTTTGAGATGCCTTTTCTTGACTTCAGAGTAAATCAACTGGCTAGTGCTGTAGACATTCGAAGAGTTAAGGAGACATTTTTCCTTGATTAAACAGCCCAGTGACAGGAAGGAAATTATAGATTGATTTTTGAGAAAGAACCTTTGTAGGTAGGCATGAATAGTGAAGTTATGAAGCATCTGAAAAAGCAGTACTAATCAGAAGAAAAATGTCAGCAGTGTATCAGCAAAAAAAGTGTATCTTTATAATAATACAATTGAGACTCAAAATGATGAGGACACTCTAACAAAGATTTCTGTGTTACAATGCCAAAGAACATTTCATTCTTTTGTACTCCATGCATATATAATAAATTACCCTTAGTAACAGATCTTTTTCTCAATACTGAAATTATCCCAATTAATTTTTTTGGAAATTGCTTTTCTTTCCAGTTGTGGTTTTTTTTGTTTTTTTTTTTTTAACTGGCACATAATAACTTATGGTAGTAAGTTCTACAGATTATCAACCGACTGCTTTTACACACACGTACAGAAAATCCAATCAGGTGTATTTCTACATGTTACAATGTAATTAGTTAATCTTCTTCTCTTTGAGTAGCTCTTCTTTTTGAATATCTGAAGAATATCCAGTACATTGTTGATGTGACAGAATATAATAAACCATAATAAAAGTTGCTTCTGCATTCCCCATATAAGAAAGTGTCCTATTGCTGACAATGAGAACATGAAAAATGTATAGAATCAATGCTACTTTCCATTTAGGTCAATACAAGATGAAATAATTAAGCCAGAACCACTAGGAAAAAAAGAAGAAGCAACTGTAAAGTAGGAGCTTAGCAGAGATTTCAATGAGAACCAAGAACCTTGATGCTAAAATGAGAACTTTGATAATTCCCTGGAAGAGAGAGAGTCTTTTTTCTATAAAGCTCTTCTTTGAATCTTCTAGTATGAAGTTATAATCAAACTGAGGCAGGTACTTAGCAATAATAAGTAAAGGAAGTACTCATGGTATATTGTTAACATTCCAAAGGTTAATCTATAGGTTAAAAGCTGATTTTTTTTTTTTCCCCCTGACAACAGAAATTTAATTTTAATTAGGTTCTTTCCAATTTTCAGAGAAAGAAAGCAAGAAGTGGCAGAACTATTTTCAACCTGCCCACTCTCACAGTACAATACTATCTTGCTGACCAGGGAGGAAAGGTTTGGCAGGGATTAAAACTTTCAAAACACAAAGAAAACCCTTCACCACATAATGACACATTTCAAGAAATACAGTGCATGCACTCAGTGCTTTCAGTCTACAGTGGAATAAAAGGTTAACAGGAGAGCCTTCAGTACTATAGTTCTGAAGGGGATAAGTTACTTTTCCTGTTTAGTTAAATAAATTTCAAGAGATAAGACATTTATTTCCATTTAAAATTTAAATGAGTAATAAGCTGGTTTTACTTAGGACTAAATATGCCTGTGGCCCTATAAGCTACATGTCAAACTCTTTGGAAGATTTACTTCATGTGTTTTGCTTTCTTTAGTAACAGTTCTAGGCAGTTAATGCTGTTAAACTCAGAATGGATTATAAACATCCTTTGCTTTAGCCATCTTTAAGTTGATAAACTTTCTGGAGAGCACTGGAATATTCAGATATCTGTTACTGTGAGCAGCAGACAGGAATGGGGTAACAATGCCAAGATGATCGTCTGTTCAGGAGGAGCAGCTCCCTGGTTTTTTTTGGTGTAACAAAATACCACTGTCCCACTTAGACTTCCGAAATTAATTATTGTGTACAAGTCCTCCTCCAGTCAACCATGGCATGTGAGGTATGCTGTAAATCTGCATACACCTCTACATATACCTGTATGTAAAAATCTATGAATAGAATGCTTGTCTAGAATTGATAACAGGTTCAGACTCCTACTCAAGTGAGTATGCATATTTTCAAGTACTCTGACTCATGCTTTCCAATCTGTAAAATACAGGGAAGATTTACTTGCCTTATTAAAATATTGTGAGGTTTAAGTTTACAAAATGCCTTGCAAGACTTCATCTAATATATAATTAACAATTATTATTTTAATCACTTTTGGTTTAAGCCATCATAAGAGAAAAAGAAATCCACAAAGTATTTTTTTTTTCAGAATTGCATATTGTTAAAATAATATATTTTACTGTTGAGCTACTGCAAGGAATGATCATGCTTACTGATTCAGGAAAAAGGCAGCTTCATTCATAATGCGTGTGGTGCTTGTCACACCCGAACTCCAGTTAAGGCCCTTAGATACAAGCATAATATTTTTGTAAATATTATTGCTAATAATGGTGATGATCATGATTTAGGGGACTCTATTAATGTCCTACTGTGAGATAGAGGAAGAAGATAAAAAATGGGTTTGGGAAAAAAAGGACCTCACCTACGAAAAAAAAAAAAAAATACAGTCTTTCAACAATATGTTTTTTTTCAGCACCTGTTTTGTGTAATTATGTTCTCAAGTATAGACAGTTTATTCTTTTCTAAGACTCCTTATTATTCAGGTTGCTATTCAGTAGCATAAAGTGAAATGATCATGAGCAGTATGATGGGAGAGAGATCTTCTGGGGGTAGCTTGCACTGAAGAGTTGGCTGCTTTGTATTGAGGAAGCATAATATTGACTTAATGGTAATTATCTTTCTCCTCCACCACTGCTGAACAATAGCTTTCACCCAATTTTCTAAAGTTTTTTCATTACCACATACAATGACACCACTTAAAAACCTGCTCCTGCTGCTTTAATTTTATAATTGCATTAATTTGTTTCCTTTCTCTTCATAAAAATGTCACTGAAATTTCTGTATCAAGTTTTTCCACACTGAAGTACTTTATTGATATGTAGGGTTTTTTTCCAAGTATTTGTTCTCTGAACAATCCGTAATACATGAGGCTGGTTATCAGTCTTGGCTGCTTGAATATATAATGACACAAGTGCTGATAAAACTGTACAAGCCATCTGTCTCTGGAGTTAAATGTTTTGAAAGCAAACAGAAAAGTGCATAACAAACACTCCCTTAAATTGTCTTTGTAAATATTTATATCAGATCTTACCCCAAAATGCTTTTTTGTTGTTATTTTATTCTGTTAATAGCTGTCAAGCAGATGCATGACTTGCCTACTCAAAAGCAGACAGGTGTAAGAAGGAAAATAATGTGTGCCACTCAAGAGCCGGTCATACCCTAATGCTGGAATTTCTGTGTGGTCTTTTATCTCTTTTTATTATACCCAGAAGCTAAACTGCTTTTCATTGATTAACTTACTGCTGCAATTAGCAACTAGCTTCTGGAGTGTTGACCAGCTGCTTTTCAACCTGCTTCTTTAAAACTCTCTTGCTTAAAGCCGGAAAATTCATTCTTCAATTCTGAAAGAGTCAAGACCACAAGATAATTCCCATTCAGTGAGACTTTTTGTCCTCAAAAAAATGAATGCGTGCTCTTTGCCTGAGGGCACTATCCTTAAGTATAGTGGATTTGAACATGGCCATAGCTGTGTTTCAGACAATCATATTTATTTAACTTTTCATATTGCATCTTAAAAAGAAAAAATAAAAGAAAACAACAGCAACAACATTTTCAGCTCTATTTAACCTCAAATACAGGAAGCTTTGTTCAGCTTTCATGGGCTACTTTACTAAATGACCTTTTCTGAGACTACACGCTTTTACAGCCTTCCCCACATATATTGGAATTGAAAAGATATTATCACATTTCATAGAGGGTTTGCAACTACTGTATATAATAAATATAAAAGCTGGAAAACAGCTCATAATGAAAAAGATTCTTT